TGGGTTTGTCTTCAAGGAGTTTGCTGCTTGTTTTGAATTCATCAATGCTGTGTGCTTTCTTGAGCATAGTTCGAAACGCTTTAGACGTCTTTATTTTGGTGTTCACTTGATTAAAAAGTGTTTTAGCGGCCCTCAAAATGGTACTTGTTGCTGGAAAGAAATACAAACTTGTCAAGAAGCACACACGTCGATTCACTCGTCATGAATCCGACCGTTACCATCGTCTGCGCCCTAACTGGCGTAAACCAAAGGTATTCACACTTCTGGCTGTCCATTTTCTTAAGTAATTTCATTTTTCACTATGTTTAGTAGTAATTCAAAGGTTTGGATTGAAAAATAACTGTGTTCCTTGTTCAGGGTATCGACAATCGTGTCCGTAGACGTTTTAAAGGTCAACGGCGTATGCCAAAAATCGGTTATGGAAACGATAAAGCCATTCGCCATATGATGCCAAACGGCTTCAGGAAGGTTCTCGTCCGAAATGTTAAGGTAACTTTCCAGTTGTTTATTCTTATGCTCCACTTTTAAGGCGTCAGAAAAATGCTTTAGTTGTTCACGTTTTGAAATTTTTATTAGTGATAGTTCATTGAATGCTGTCCAGTCTGTGGATATAATTACACGGTATCATTATTCTAGAAGCCGTCAGCATGATATTTTAAGCTTTTTGAATTGAAAATGTATGCGCTCTTGTCAATAACTTNTGCCAATTCAAGGATTTGGATATGCTTTTGATGCAAAACAAACGATTCGCCGGTGAGGTGGCACACAGTGTTTCATCGAAGAAACGGAAAGATATCGTTGAGCGTGCACAACAACTCAACATTAAGTTAACGAATGGCAACGCACGTGTCAGATCCGAAGAGAACGAGTAGACTGGATGTGATCGTTTATGTGTGTGTGTGTGATTCCATGATCGTTTATCCGCAAACTGCTTCAGAAGACCTCCGCTTCTCTTACTGTCCACGATGACTTCAGTGTTGAAGAATTCTTATGCATTATTCGACAGCATTATTTTTGTTTCCAAATATGTTACCCTGCAGAAGATTTATTGAATGATTTGAAATCGTAGGATGACTTTTTTAGATGGACAGTGAGGAGACGGGGTGGGGTTTCCAACGTATGTTCTGTATGTTTATTTGGGTCTTCTTGAGACTCTCTGAATTTATGTGGTTGATAATTGTTGTTGTGTTGTTCAAAATAAATGATATTGTTGTTTTATTCGAGTATCGCAAGCATATTAT